AGTGAGGATACCTCCAGCTACAGTGATGAGACAGATGTGGAGAAGAATACCTCAGTAAAACCAGCTCAGGTCAAAGCCACACCAGCTGGGACCAAGGARTCTCCAGTGAACATGGCAGCCCCAAGGCCTGGTAATTTGGAGGAAATGACACCCCAGGTCAGAGCAGGGGCCTTGACCCCAGCTGGGGAAGCCAAGAAGTCAAAAGAGCAGTTGAAAATCAGCAAGAAATCATCCCAGAGTGATAAAGAGGTCCCTACAGTAACACCCAACTAGTTTCTCTTCCCAAGTTATGTGAACGTAGAGCTTCTCCAAGCCAATTCCCAGGCTTCAAAGTTCACTCTAAAGACCTGCAGCTTCTTTGTTTCTTCTACTCTGGTGAACAAAGATGACCCAGATGGCAGACTGGAATCTCAGCATGAAGGAGCCAGCGTTTCCCTTAAAACAGATGCCACCAAGGAAAGCAGCAAGAAAGGTTTGAAACCAAAGTTGTTGGGARACCAGTCCATCCCCAAGAGCAAGAAGAAGAATCAGCCAGAGATCAGGGAAGGCCCAGAGGGAACTATTTTATCAGAAAAGCCCTCCAGGCCTTCCAAAGGGACATTAAAGAGAGACAAAGCAAATGGCAATAAAAAGGAGAAGAAGGGGAAGGTATCTTCTGATTCCCAAGGGGCCAACAACAAGCCAGAAGGGGAGCAGGGATGGTGAAGGTTGAGTGTGGAGATCAAAATGACACAAGAAGCAGAAGCAAGAAGAAATCTGATAAAGTCCTTAAACTCCATCTACCAATGCCTCAGCAGTTGTGCCAGATTTGCCATCAAGCATGAAAGAGAAGGCCAAGGCAAAGATCAAGAAAGCTGAAAAGATGCTGAATTCTGTGCCATATCCTGCCTCAGTGCCCAGGAACTCAACATTATCCTCAGAAAAAAACATCTTGGTCTCAGAAACAGAGGAAAGGGGCATTGTTCCAGGGCACAAAGCTGCTGCCAAGCTTGGGACCRTGTCAGCGGTCCTTGACAACAGCTTCAGTGAGGATACCTCCAGCTACAGTGATGAGACAGATGTGGAGATGAATACCTCAGTAAAACCAGCTCAGATCAAAGCCACACCAGCTGGGACCAAGGAGTCTCCAGTGAACAGGGAAGCCTCAAGACCTGGTAATTTGGAGGAAATGACACCCCAGGTCAAAGTAAGGGCCTTGACCCCAGCTGGGGAAGCCAAGAAGTCAAAAGAGGAGCTGCAGAAAAACTGGTCTACTTGAGTTTCCTTGAACATTATGACCCTGTGGTTAGAATATGTGGAAATATATCATTTACTATTATAAATAGCCATGCTACTGACATTTATATATAGTATATATAGTATATTTGTTGTTAGAAAAGACTTGCCTCATGTTGCAAATGTACCCTTTTTCCTGCTAGAGTTTAATATTTCCTGTTTCTTTGCTGTGGTATCTTAATTATTCTGTACTCTTTGCCATTTTCTTGAATACACTTAAAATAAAGACTTTATTTGTAGATCAATTTTAAGTTTTCAGAAAAGTCACCAAGTGTAAGTCAGAGATCTGCTATACCCTTTGCATGACTTCCCTTACTATTAGCATCTTTCATTGTTATGGTATATTTGTCAAAATTAATAAAGAAATATTGATATGTTAAAAACAAAAAGAAAAGAATGATAGATGCAGTTTTTAATTTAAATCAATTGTTAAGAACCCCCAAACAAAGTAATAAAAATATGTTTGTCAAGATATTAGGAAGTTTTATACTAAGCATTATACAAACGATTTTTTAAAGACCCCCCCACAAGATTGAATTCAGCTGAAAACAGTTAAAGAGTTCCTAGGATAAGAAGAGACAAACTCTTTAAAAATCTGGCTCATGGTCACAGCAGAGTTTATATAAATGTATTAAATTTGACACAGGTATATTATCTGCTATAATTTCAGTACTATAAAGTAAGTAAGACAGTATGMATACGAGTAGCAGAAGACAAATGAATATAGAATAGTGTCAGTGAAAGACAAAGAACTGAGATGGATAGTCAGTAACATTATCATTGCATAGTTTATCCTCCAGATTTTGGAGCTGGACCTCTCGGTTCAATAACCTTGATACTCTCCTTATTGTGACTCTAGTTAGGTTACTTAAAATCCCTGATCCTAATTGCCTCTTTAGCAARAAAATAATTAACTAATAGTGTAGGTGGGGAAATTAAATGACATAAAATAAAATAAGTAGCTATTTTAACAAAGAATGTATGTGAAAGACTTGCGCTAAGTATGAAATACATTTGGAATAGGGTTTGATACATAAATTTGCTCAATAAATAYCCAGGACAATAATTACCATTGAAGTTCTCATTGATCTTTATTAAATAGGACCTGTCCTCTGTCTGATATAAATATACATTACAGTATGTATATATGTGTGTAAATATACATACACAATTATGTTTTGAATTAGTAACTTCTTAGAAAAGTTTGCATCATTAAAACTAAAGCCATTCTTCAGTTATTTGTGATACCATAGTATTCATTAATAAACTTTTTTAAATGACCTAAAGAATCAAGTATAAAAGCAATTAAGAAAAAAATAAATTTGTTTTAGTTTCAAAAATTTGTTAAGATTTAAAAATATTTTTTAAAAAACTGAATCACACTATGGAATGCCCAGATCTTACTTGCACATTTTGCTGAATTCTGACAACTGTATATACCCATGTAACCAAACTTCCAACCCCTCATTTTCTCCTATCCTCTCTCAAGTCAAGCACTGTTCTCACCATACATTAGTTTTGCCTGTTTGAGGATTTAATAGAAATGAAATCATATCACACTTGTTCTTTGTGTCTGGCTTATTTTGTTCAGCATAGTGGTATTTTTTAGTTTAATCTATGATGATTATATCATTGGTTCAATACCTTTTATGGTTGAGTAGTATTCTACTGCATATATTTATGATACATTGATTCACTGATTCACCCATCAGTGAAAATATGGCTTTTTTTTAAAGATTGATACTCTTAAAATTAAAGCTACTATGAACATTCATTCATGTATGATTCTTCATGTAAACCCACCTGCTGAATTGTGTAGCCATGTGGAAAGCATATGATTAACTTCTGGAGAAACTGCCAGACTAGAACTGCTTCTGAATCCTTTTCTTCTTAAAATTGGCTACAGTGCTTTCTGCTGTCTACTGTTAAAAATGCTAATAGTTTCCTTGTTTTTAATCAATATTAACATCTTGAAGGGCTATTAAAATAATTGATTGGGACAGTTCATGTGAGGTATTTAACACATACAACCGAACAAAAACTAGTTGTTGTTGTTGTATTACTTTTTCTCTTATTATTTTTTAAAAATGACAACAGACATAATGCCTGAGTTTAAAATCCAGCTTTAGTATATATTCTTTCTGCAATCTTGATCAAGTTGCTTAAGTAAGTTTTGGTTTCCTTACCTATAAACCAGTTAGAAAGCATAAAAATTTTTCTCCTTCTGCTACTGTAAAAATTAAATGAAAATATGTAAATGAAACTTTTTTTGGTGGGAATGGTGGGATACACCAAAGCCAGCCTCAGAAATTTAGGGGAGACCCTGTCTCAATATATATATATATTTTAAAGAGATGGAAATGTGGCTCAGTGGTTAAGTGCCCCTAAGTTCAATCCCCAGTATCCCTCCAAAAAAACAAAAACACACAAACTTTCTTTTCTGTACTTATTTCTATTCTCTAAACAATGCAATTCAATTAAACTTATTTCCTACATTACTTCCTGTTGTTAAATGCCAAGGCCTTTTCTTGTTTCCTCAGAATCCTTGGCACAACTCTTAATACATAACAATTCAGTGCCTTTGCATTCTCTTATCCTCTGCTTATTTAATTTAAATCTACTCTTCAAGTCTCTCCTTTTACATCAAATCTTTTCAGGGATTTGCAACCTATCAGGATCTTGTAACTCCTACAAAGAACGTCATGTATTTATTTATTTCAACACTGTGCTCTTTTTCAATTAGTCAGTGTGCCTTATCTATTTCTCTTTGAGATCTGTAACAGTGAATTTCCAAAAAATATCAGAGCTCTTATGAGAGATTAGTAATTAGTAATCATTTGAACAATTGCTGATTAGATGATATACCATGTCATACAATTAATTCAACTAGATTATATAATAGTTTCAGTTTCGGATGATGTTATTAAATGTAGAGTACTTGATTAAAAGCTATTTAAATGCACATGTTCATATATTCTTTTCTTGTTAAATTTCTTTCTCTTTACTAAAACATTTGTACCTGTTTTTGATTTCTTTTAATTGTGCTTTTTAATTCTACTAGTAAGACTCTAAGGAAATTAAATGAGCCAACAAAGTGAACACACATAATAAACCAGTCTCACTATCAAAAAATGGAAATGACCATGTTCTTTCTACACATTTGTCAAAAGTGACAAATAAAATTTGGTACAGATAAAAGGGCTTAGTTAGATCACTGGTACTCAACCTAGGTTGCATTTTAGAATCAGTTGGAGGGTTTGAATAATTCCAATTCCTACTACCTTACCCCAGAGACCTCTATTTAGTTGGATTGGTATAAGGTCTGGCAACAAGGTTATAAAGGTTAATCAGATAATTCTTTTGCGCAACTGGGGATGCCACTGGTTAGAGGTTATTCTTTACTTAAGATCTTCTCTAGTTCACTTTCTTCTCACATTTTTGCTTTATGAACATGCAGCCTACCTGGAAAGATTCAAGGCATTTATCTGAATTTTCCTTTGCTGTCACCAATAGAACCTGTTGTACATGTATATACAAGTAGGGATGACAAGATGCCTTTATTTTGAAAACTACTTTATGGAAGTATCTTTCTGTATTTTCAGTAGGTAGAAATACCATTCACATGCATTAGAGATAAGGTAGTAACTAAAATATCATCCTGGCAAGGGGATAAGAGAGAAAGGAAGTCTGTAGCTACATTAACTATAAATGAGAGTCATACATACCTCACTGATGGACCCCAGATCATCAGCAAAGCTGTTTACTTCTGACAGAAGTAGAGATATAATAGATTTTCTCAACAAGCTGCAACTTCCTAGGGTTAACAGACTCTGAGAGATATAATGCTGCACCTGAAACTAAAAATAAAAATGACTAAGTTTCTACTTTATATCAAGTTAAATAAAAGTGTATTTAATGGGCATTTTCTAACACTTTCTACTAAGCTAAATGCTATGGGTAGTGCAAAAAAAAAGTCAACATAATTCTAGGAAGTCTCAAGCAAAATTGTAAAATAGACAAATTATAACAATCTAAGCACTATGACTTTATATAGCAGTTAAATTTTGAAATGTATGACAGGGTACTAAAATTAAACTTTTAACTGAAATATCAAAAGATAATATAATAGTTTAGATGATAGACTGTATGCAGAATGAATAAAGATGATAAAACAAGACACTTAAATCTTATCTGATGGATGGCAGACAGTTACAAAATGGTAAGATAAGTTTGAAGATGTCTTTGGGAAGAGCTATGGGTACTCTTTAAGTTCCACTTCCATACTGGACAGGGACAGGAGAGAGAGACTTCCCAGCTTGCCGCAGGTTAAAAAAAAAGCAGGGGGAGCTCAATAGTGATGAGGAAAAAATGTGGGTTACTCAGAATTTTTATACACAGGCAAAAATCCTATTTACCATTAAATATATTTAAAAGGACAGTGGAAAAATAAATTACATCTCAATATTTATTAAGAGTAATGCCATTTAATTATTAAACAAAATAAGGTATGTAAAACATGACTGTAATTTAATTTAATCTATCCTTTAACAAAGTGATGAGTAAGGAGGCTTCAAGTAGTATCTCAAAACACAGAAATAGTCATATACTTTGTCAGTGCTTTACATGAGCTTAAAACCATATTGAGAATACACTGTTTTCAATGAAAATAAAAAATGCCACACACAACTTATAAATGTCACCTTTGTGTCTTTGAGACTTCTCAAACTGATATTTTAATAGTATACATTAATTTTAAAAATTAGCCAAATAACAAAATGAATATAGAGTTCAATAGAAATATTGACTAAAAATATAGACAGGCATAACTGGCTCTTAATAGTATTCTAATACTATTAGATTAAATTAATGCTGAAAACACATCAAGTTATTACCATAGGAAATCATAGATATTTATTTATCATTATTTCTTAATAATGTCATTGACTAAGATCCACGCCCTTCATAACTCTCCAGCACTATTAGACATTAGATTTCAGATTTTCACAACATTTTCATGTTTGTAATGAAGCAAAGTTTTCTCTTAGCTAAACTCTAAAGAACTTCTCATGATTATTTCACTGATACTTTAATTGTGTACTTAAGTCCTTTCTCAATATTTCATTCTTTATGCAACAATTTAAGGTGAAGAAAAAGTTCAGAAAAATAAAAGATGCTTTAGAGAATAGTAATAAAATGATGATAGTAGTGATGGGGTTTATAGAACCTAGCATTATCTGATTCAAATCTCAGCTTCACTGCTCAGGAACTTATACTAGTAACTTACTTATTAACTTCTCTGTTTCACTTCATGGTGCAAAATCGCAATTGTGCTAGTAAATGTTCAGTGGAATGGTTGTGCCTACTAAGTTAAGCAGTAAAAATTCTTCAAATAGTGTCAGGCACCTAGTAAGTGCTCAATAATGAAATGTAACTTAGGATTGTAATAAAAAAGCACTTAAGTTTATATAATAATATTTTAATTAATTGACATTTGTAAAGTTAAATACTATAAATAAAATTTACTTTTCTAGAGTTAATAAAATCCTGTTAGAGAACACTGATAAGGAGAAAAGAAAATTTCATCATAAAGAATTCTTCCACAGCTATGAATTGTTATGTGTCCCCAACATGACTTAAGTACATATAGAGCAAATACTATGTAACCCTTAATGTGGTTTAAAATTCTGTGACTATTATTATAAAAATGGTCTCTATGCTTCCTTAAAGGATAATTGCTTCTTGCCTTTCTTAAATGCAGTGGAACTTTTTAGAGAGACTGATGTGGAGGAAAGGACTCAGGACAATATCATACAAGGCTACTGTATTGGAAAAGCTAGAAGGATTTACTCAACACCCACATCCATCTTTTCCTATCACCTCTTTCTGTATTTTAGAGGCTGAGTAACTATAATTAACTTCTCCCAGATTCCTCTGCAGTTAGGATTTTAGATATTAGCTGAGTTTTACCAACCAGAGCTCCGTATTTGAGCCCTAATTTATAAGTGAATTATRGAGGAAGAGAAGTAGGCATAGGGTRTACATATGGTTGGTGCAGGTTATGGAAGAGGTAACATAGTTCTGACTCATTTATTGCTAGTTCAGAGGCTACCTAATTATGCAGGTTCTTCATCAGAGCAGAAGCAGCAGCCACTTTGCTGGCACTATGGTTTAGGAAGTTATTTCTGAAACTTGACCTTCCAAAAGGTGCTTTGATCTTCAGCTGGAGGATTACAGAGTTCATTGCCACATTAAATTCTTGAAATATGCAAGGGTAGAAATTCCTACTATATGCCTAATTAGTTTGCTTATATGAACTGTGGAGAAGATAGAAGCATCTTGGAGAATGGCTATGAATTATCATAAACTAAATCAGTTGGTGTTTCCAATATTGTATTGCTGTTGTTCCAGATGTAGCTCTCTTCTGGGAAAGATCAACATTATCCCTGCTGTTTGTTAGGTAGGTTTTTATCTTGGAGTTTTTCATTATTCTAATTAAGAGACAAATGTACCAGTTCGTGTTCACCTAGTAGACAGCAACATATGTTTTCTGTCCTTTTTAAGATTATGTCAACCTGCTGGCTCTTTGCCATTATTTACATTCACAAAGATTCTAATCATACATATACTCTATAGAATACCATGCTGGAGTACTATGTTGATGCTATTATGATGATATAGCAGGATCTGTGCATGCCAGAAAGTAAAAAAATAAATCCCAGAATACAGGGGCCTGAGATACTTGGAAAATTTCTGTGTAAGATGCACACTGTACTACTACTTCCAAAGTGAAAAACAAGTTGCTTTAGCTTGTATTTCTTATCATTAAGACAAAGATACATTTGAAAGGTCTTTGTGGATATTTAAGGCAACATACATCCTTTGGTCTTACCACCTGAATGCATATATTGAGTAAATCATAAAGCTTTAAATTCTAAAAATGGGCAAGAGTATTATATGAAGAACTCCAGCTGTTCTAAGTTGGAGAACGAGAAACTTTGACACTTAGATCTCACAAACAGTCCAATGTGCTTGGAGCTGATCAATATATGGAGACTGTAGCCCACCCCTGATAAGAAAAGCACAAAGGAGGGATCCTCAGATTGTAATAATGCCAAACCTTTCTTGACAACTAAATATTATTATTTTATAAGAAAACAAAACAAATCTCTTTGCTTCTACTATTTGGCCCAACTTAGTCTGTGATCAGGTGGACATTCAGTCTATCAAATGACTACACAACCAGAGCTACTAATTTGAACTGGGTGCTATCTAAAATCACATATGTCTGACAACAATCCATCAAGTAGTCATTAAATTAACATAATTTGGATAAATCAAGAACTAAAAGCAGAGCAAGTTTTGTTTAATTGTCAGATACTTACAATTCCAACTAGGAGACCACTCCAAATAATGTTGGGTTACTGCAGGAAATTTATGTTTCAAACCAGAGGTCAATATATGCTTTTCTTCACACTTAAGATTATAACTACAGGGGTTCCTCTAAAAGCATATAATAGCACTAAGCCTTAGTATCATATTTTTAAAAATATTTTTTTCATTTGTAGGTGGACACAATACCTTTATTTTATTTATTTACGTGTGGTGCTGAGGATCGAACCTAGGGCCTCAAACATGATAGGTGAATACTCTACTACTGAGCCACAACCCTAGCCCTAGTATCATATTTTTAATAAATAATTTGAACAAAAACTTGCAACCCAAAATTCAGACTATGCAGTACTAGAGAGGCAGTACTGTAGTTAGCAGAATCAAGATACAAATGAATTTTCTAAGCTATAGCAATAAGGCCAAGTAAGCTAAAATCAATGAATATACATGCAAAGGTATGTCTATTTAATTTCCTGTAGTCTGGTACAGAAAAGAAATAAAGATATTTAAAATACTTGCTATGTGCTAAGCACCTATTCAGATTTTAGCTAATGAGAACTAATGACCAAAAGATTCCAAAACCTTCAAGAAAGGATCAGTGGCACCTTCATAAAGGTCCTCATATTTCCCAGAAGAATCACATGTGGGCTTGGACCTGGGCAAACAAAGATTTCTGTTAGACTGTTAGACTTTGTCATTTTTGTAATGACTTGTTCAAACTAATGTATTTCTGAGACTCTGGAAAGCTCTAGGGCCCTATCTAGAAGTTTTACAACAGCCATCTGTCAATATGCAGAGTGGATTGTGCTTATTTATGACCAACTTCTCCAAGACAACAGATTAATAAAATTTCATTTCCTTATCACTGTAAACTATGCAACATTTGAATGGAAGTCAAAAGTAAATAATAATAAAAGCACAGTGTTTTATGTGCTCAAAAGGATGGAAGGAGTTATAAAATCATAAACCTTCATCAAAACAGTTTATATTCTTGAGCCAGTGCCATTTATTTAAGGATGCATATGAAACTGCTAAAATCAGATACATCAAATCACACATCACATATGAATAATAAAAAAGACGTATGTTCTCGCAAGTTCACAAGTGAATTCAGCAAAGTAAATTTTAAAAATCAGTTTGGGACCAAAGGCACATATCACCAAATAAACAAATAGTAGAGGTTGGTTATATGGAAAAATTATCTATGAATATGCATTAGGATGCTGAACCATTCCTTCTATTTCTATGATATCTAATGGTATAATTCTAYTAATAAAAGAAACCAGGTTAAACAAACTAAGATGTCTACTGGAGCAACAGAAACCGTGCTGGTTTCTTTTGTTTAAGAATTTATGCAAAATAGTTGGAATACTCCATCCCCAACAACATCCCCCTGCCATCATATATCTGAGGCATCACATTGCAAACTTTTCTGGATGCATACAAACTTTGAAAGCCTAAACAAGGA